ATTATGCGGCTCCAATGCAGAAGTTGTATTTACAAACAAGCAAAGGCAACAATATTTCATCGGCAGAGGAGCATAATATTGCTTACATTGTTCTTCTGATTTTTGTTGCAGCGCATGATTGATTCAATACTATTGTGGATAAAAAACGCCAACGTGCATACTCCGGTTAGTGCAGGGAACAGAGGACTGTAAACTGAAGTAAAAAAGACATGTTAAACAATTGCTACTGAAACGCAGTTAGTAGGCATTATAATAAGCATGGAATATAGCCCGGATGAGTGTAAGCGTACTCATAACTTACGAGGTGCGAAATTGAAGCTGGCAGGTTCAAGGAAATTTACATTTATACCCCAGATACCGGCTTTGGCAAAAGTGAGAATGAAGATGTAGAGAATGGAAACAGTTCCTTAAGAAAAACGAAAGATGGTTATGGTTGCGATACCAATGACTACTCTATATTTCACAAAACGGTCCAATACCTCCTGCCTTACCTAAAGCCGTGAATTTTGTGAAGAACGTTGGCGATCGAATACTGATGAGCGGGAAGATAACTAGCAGAAGCCAGGCAGGGACAGTCCGTGTAGGGTTCCACAGAGCGTCAAACAAACTTGGTTGGCTTACAGCAGTGGGTGCGACGTTTCCTGTCAGGTTCGTAATCTCAGCGGCTTGTTTGCAAATGACTAGAAAGGTTTGCAAATTTAGATAGGCGGCTATCGTCAGTAAAACGTTACTTATTTGTAATTTAAAATAAAGAATGACTGTCCAAAGGTTTTCAACTCCTATTTAATTTTTTTCCTTTAGTTCAAGCTGCCAAGGCAAGACATGTTTCAGTCTAGACCCATAAACACTCTGCATGTCTCGTTTTCTATCCGTGAGAATATGAAAATAATTGCACGCAACGACTCATTTAAATATATGCTACATGTAAATATGTTAAATAATCATGTTTACGGCACTTCCAGACGGGTGGTACTATGTTCTGCAAAAAAAGTCGCAGGGCAGTCTAGACTAACGATCATTGAGTAGATTACAGGAATAAGACTTACTACCATAGGCTGATTGGGAGGAATTGTCGCCGACAGCGTTGTTATCTCGATTTATGTAGTCTGAAAGGTATCAAAAAGGAAATCCAACTAAAAGAATTTAAATCTGTACGTGAAAATTCAAATTAAATCGTGGGAACCTCTCGAAAACGTCCCAGATTCAATTGGTATATGAACACTTAATAAGTTCACGTGAAGGAAACCTGTCAAATTGAAATATGATGGCTATTAGCGCTATTACTGTAGAACCACGCTGCAAAAACATGCTTCCGTTGAATACTCCTATCAGCCCTTTTACTCAGTAGTACATCAAGGAACGGTAGCGATACAGATTGCTCTTCTTCTATGGACTCACCTCTCGGTCCGCTTCTCGCAAATATATTCGTGGGCAAACTAGAAGCTGCGCAACGTAGCCACCAGATAAATAATCTGACGTACTACAAACGTTACGTAGACGAAGTATTCGTGGTTGCACCAGACCAAACCAACGTTTCAGCTCAAATGAATGCAGTAAATCAGGCGCACCCGTCTATCAAGTTTACAGTAGAAGAAGAGCAATCTGGATCGCTCCCATTCCTTGATGTATTACTGAGTAAAAGGGCTGATGGGAGTATTCAACGTAAGGTATATCATAAAAGGACGTGGTCCGTGCAATGCATACATTTTGCCAGCTTCGTACCGCTAAACTTCAGACGTAATTTGGTACGATGTTTGACGAAAAGGGCGAAAAGTATCTGCTCGACTGGTAGCATTGAAGAGGAGCTAAAGATTGTTGAAGGCGTGTTCCGACAAAATGAGTATCCCAGTCGATTTATCTCTAAGAACGTGGATGAAAGGCCGCCAAAACCCTCAGTGTTAACAGCAGAGAAGAAGCGACCATTCATCAGGGTCCCATTTCAAGCGGACGGACCAAGCGAACTTCTCAGGAGGCGCCTGAGTTAAGCTGTAGAAACCACCTTCCCAGCAGTTAACGCCCATGTACTGTCTCGACTACTCCCATCCTATACGGAGAGATCGAGAACAAACTGCCAGCCCAGACCACCTCTGTATGGATATATTCATTTACCTGCTCCTGTAGGGCAGGTGTTGTAACCTAGTGTTTCCCTGTGTCAACACCGGTTATGTTCCCCCATTACGTGTTAGGAAGAGAAGACAGAATATGATAACAGCTATTACTTTACTGTCGCTTATACTAGTCCATCAACACTGTTCCGTGTGTCCAGCAGTTTGCCTTCTGTGGTCGATCTCGCTTCGGCAGCAGTCTCGGGTCGTCGGCAGCGTGGCCCATAACAGAGTCCCCGTTCTGCTCGCAGCCTCGGTATTTAAGGGGCAGTCGTCGT